ACAGATTATAATTAAGGTTACTGCAGATAAGCATACGACTCGCCTGTTTAAAGTAATTGAATTGGTTTATATTTAAATTATATTATTATTGTAATTTCAGTTTTATATGGTATATAATTTTGTCAAATGTGTGGTCAAATTGAGAATACATTAATATGGTTTGTCTTTAATATTATTTATCTGTAGTCTTACTGAATGTTAAATTAATTATGGTCGAATTTTGATAGTTGAGCGCCTACTAGTATTACTAAATCTCTGTTCATCCAATTTCTTGTTTCATTTTGTAGATGAGGCCCTATATAATGGTATAATTTAATTGATATCCAACTTATTAAAACACTCTAAAGTTAGATAAATAAGTATTATGACATCTGATCTATTTACTATATTTTTCTATTTAGTACAGAATCTTGTCTAAATAGGTCAGTAAAGGTTTCTCAATATCTATAAAGGATATAGAGATTGAGACACCGAGAGAAAGTTACTAGAAACATACCTGTCTATCTATACATTAACGAAGATTTTTTCGAACGCCAAGGAAAATGGTGCCCGTTAAGTTATTAATAATGCAATATAAAATTTTGAGCGGCTTATCAATGATAGTCATACCAAAAAGCTTGATGCAAATTTGCAACTGTTCCAATTGGGCGATTTAGGGTAGTGGTACGAACGAAATGAGGGTTCAGTTAATGTAATTTTCGATGTCGTTCACGGCAAAACGTGACGGTTTAAATGTTGTAGGACAACGCTACCTCTTACTCAACCCTCTTGATATGTTAAAATTTACATATGCATATGTACTATTCGACAATTATAAATGAAAATAATATTATATTACAAGATGTCAATGCTCAAGCAATCAAGCCTGTGAAATGTTATTTATGTGTAGCAGTCTACATAAGAGGTACTTATTAGTAGACTGATATTCGAAATAATTATGTATAATGTGTAGTAAACAAAAAAAACAAAGATTTAGAATATTTTTTATCTGTAGTTTAAACTAAATCAAAACTATTAATAGTTAAAAAAGCTTAAGTATATCGGTTTCTTTTATGGAGAATAAAAAGATAGATGTATAAACAGTATGTACATGTATAGGTAAATATTCTACTCCTATCTCATACCTATAACACTTCTATGAACAAATGCTGCACAAATTCTATTTAATTGTAATTCAAGATGCGATTACTTTTAAAAATTTCTAACTAAATAAAAATAAATATGAAAGACAATCTAATTTATTTAAATAAAAAGTAATTTAAAATCTTTTTCCTATCAGTTTTGTTGTCACTTCAACAAATATATTTTAAGAGGGTAATATAAAAAAGACAATCAACTAGACATAATTTAATTAACTAAAGCAGACATCTAATTTCATTAACTTTTGTTTCTATAAAAATAATTGCGTAGTGACGTTCAAAAATTCCCTAAAATAATTTATTTGTTGCTCTGAAATTATAATCAAATAGCTACTGCAAATAGAGTAGGGAAATTAGTTTAATCTTTCAAAGGCTTGAAAATGAATGGAAGCCTCTCTTTCTCCTCAGTATTTTTTATTAAGCCGCTTTAATGATAAGATGTAACACAGGAAATATAATATTTAAGAAGAGAATAACGTTATCAAAAGTTCCCTCTAACCTTGCTAAGTACCCGTTTCTTTTCGCCCTAAACAAATTTGCTCAAATTATTAATTATCTCAATTATTATATAGCAGCTCTTTGGAATATTAAAACTTTACATAAATGTTAGCTATGCTCACGATTTCGTAAGTACGCATGGTATACGGAATAACAAAAGTTTATAGTTTTTTGTTTCCGAACATTTTGGAATAAAATAATAAATGTCGCGGATTTTTTTTTTCTATATATAGGTAATGTCAGTGAAAAGGACATTCAAATTAATTTGTTTAATGTACATATGCAACGGAAATAATGAATTGGTTCGAGAACCTTTATGACAGTAAAAACATATTTAATACACATTGGTATTATTAATTGTAAATATAATATTTGAAACTGCGCGAATCTACAGGAAAATCATATGTTAAGTACATTAACTTGAAAATTGTAAACTTATGACTTTCAATATATCGATTAGAAAAATTTAGTTTCAAATTGTCAATCATTTTTCACACACACTTAATTTTACTTTTATTATATTTACTTTCAATATACAGAATGTCTCTGCTTATGGATAGTCATACCTACCAGTATACTTATATACTACGATCGAAGAGGTTGGTTACACTATCAGTGCAAAGATACTTACGTAAAATATTTCGTTTTCTATTCGTATTCAAAGTTCAATAATAATTTGCGACACAAACAAACGTAAAGAAAACGCTCATGGCGTTTTCTTGTATCATGAGAAATTTAATGATTTGATATGCTAAAATACTTTGAAAACAGAATACACATATCCATTACAATCAAGCTAAGAAGAAAATCGGAATTTCTATACAGTATCATGGAAATGGGATGGAGGTGTAAAGCTTGGAATAAGCATAATGACTGCGACAATAAAACGCACGTGGTCGTAAAATGGCGTCGTTGTACCAAATTGGTGCGTCTACATCTACGGCCAATCAATGGAATCACCGGCTTGAATACCTCACTGGTACACCACTAATTGAATCTGAGTTTTATATGACTGAAAAGTTTTATGTGATACGCATAATTTATAATGAAAGTGTTATATTTTATTTTTAACTAAAATATTTTCACTTAAATTCTATGTATGTTACATTTTATTTCTAATTGTAATCGTGCTTCGTTCTGCGGGCTAATACTTTACCAGAAAACGATAATTCAAAACTTATTTTAGATACTCTAAAGTAACTGTTTGTAGATTCGAAAATAATCTTATTCGACTGGATCCTAATACGACAGCCAATCGTATTAAGATAAAGTGTGTTGTTATGCCAAAATAAATAAATTGGCAAATTTTGTGACTTGCTCGCTGCAAAGTCAGATGCATTGAAAACTTTTCTAGTGTTTACTGGACAAATTCCATTCCATAGAAATGTTAACTCTGGGCGTTCGTATATAAATCGAAGCTATTTCACGATCAAACAAAAGTTTTCTCATATATTTCGCTACACAACTCGATCATTCCTATTCAATTCTTAATAAAGAATGTTGAAATACGACTACCAGACTTTTAACCAGCTAACCCAGCAAAGTTTTATTTTGAAACTTTATTCGCTTTTTCACATTTCTTAGAGAAAATGATTTGCGGGCGTGTTAAGTCCCACATTTGCATACACAGGATTAATAAAAACCTCTCTAGTTTGAGTAATTTGTATTTAAATGCAGTGTTTTAAGAGAAATAACAAAATATCTTAGAGTAGCAAAAAGAAAATAAACGAATTCTCTGAACATTTAAAGCTTAACCGAGGCAAGAAGGCAGAGTTTTATGTCTGTTTCTTAAGTAAGTATTTAAATGGCATAAGGACAAGAATTTTATTTATAGAACTCGTGACAATTCATTCTTTTCCTTCATAGTTGTATTTATGTTACATTATGTTCCGCGCAGAATTTAATCGGATTTATTTGGAAATGAAGTCTTATAGCATCTTTGTTAGAAATGAGAGGTTTTAGTAAAAGCCTACAAGCAGCTCTGTGATATTATTTGTCAGTCTTAATTAGAAGTATCTACATTTAAATATAATAATATTTACTTTAAGAAAATGTTATACATATTATATATTTCACTCATTCATAATTTAAGACCTACGCTCTTGTCGGTGGAGCTCTTGCCACTTTCCGCGATCTTCCATCATGCTCTTTAATTCTTGATACGACACGACTCCCATTTTGTCCTCAATTTGTTTCATGTAGCTATGCCTTGGTCTTTCTTTCCCCCTCTTTCCTTCTATTTCCCCCTTAATAATATTTTTTATGAAATCATCGTGCCGTATCAAGTGTCGCAACATCTTTCCTCGTCTATTTTCTATTGTGTTCAATATCTGCCTTTTTTCTTTTACCCTGTGTATTAGGTACTTCTTTGTTTTTTACTTTATCCTTACAGCTAATTCTTTCCATCTTTCTCCAACACCACATTTCAGAAGCTTCCAGTTTGTCTCTTTCCTTTTGATTTAATATCCACATCTCACACGAATACAAGGCTATACTCCAGATATATAGAACGTTTTAATATTTAATATTTTAGCCAAAAGGTATTTTTTGTTGTTAAATCTCACAATCTTGTTGTAATACACATCTGGAGTCAAGGGTGATTAAACTCCACATATATGTGTCTAGAACGTTTTGTTAATTATTTTTAATCGTTTATTCTCGATTTAGAGGTCTTTGATATTTTAAAAGTTTGTGTAATATATATATATAATATTCATATGTATATATATATATATATATATATACGTATTTTTTGGAGAGATTAATGTTTGTTAACACAAAAACTGCTTTTTTTAAACTTTACAGTTATACATCTGCAATATATAATAAAGTTAAATAAATAAATTGAAATATGTACACAACAATGGCAGATACAGCTATTTAAAAGTATTGTATGATTGAATGCATTGCAGGTTATTATCATCATAAATTTATTATTTAATTTCAAGTTTTGCTAGTAATTATATAATTAGGAGTATTTGTAAAAAAAATTAGATATTCATAACACAATTGTTTAAATTACTGGAGGAGTATGAATAAAAAGGTTGTACATAGGCCATACTGTAAATTAACGGCTGGGAAATGTCTACAGTGTACAGTCTGTTTATAAATATTTTCATAAATACATATTGAAAGCCTTAATTTATAAAGTACAAAATTCCATCAACTGATTATCTACCGCTTGGAGAGTTATTAACTACGTCACTAATTTGACCTTTTTCTGCTTAGTCGAGAGTGGGAAGGACATTGATTTAATTTCGTTTGAATACGATAATGTGATCGTACCACACCCAAAAGTTACTGCATAATGGGCCTCTGGCACGTAACACTCGCCGAAAATAATAATCCACATGAAACACATACCTTTATATTTATGCAGCGGACTATCTGTAACAAAAACAAATCTTTATTAAATTTTACTAATACAATCTGCAGATATCTACTTATATTTTATATTCATATATTCGTATTAAATTAAATGTTTAAAAGGTCCACCAAAGTAAGATCTATCGCTATATACATTATACATCAACAGCACTACTCTACTACTCGTGTGTTGCTGTCAGTGGGACTAAGATGTCATTTCCTCATATCCTGTAATTCCACTCGTTAACTGAAACACAGCGTACTAAGCAAGCTGTTTGATGGCTGAAATATGCAAAACAAGCGGCATATACGCGGTCGACTTTATACAAAATGTACCTCTGGTAAACCTTAATGTAAGTGACAGTTTATATAAAAATTAAACATAATATTAGTTTGGCGTGACGTTATTAAAATCTAATTATTGATAACAACTCCTTCCTTACCCAGGCCTAAAATAATACTATAATGCTGTTTTGATAGGTCGATTAAATTATCAGGTCGCATGATAATAATATTTAAAATGCTTATACTTAGTTCAGCTTTATTTATATTAATTACGATACAAAATTTGTTTTTGTATGATGATTTGATTGATGACAAAATATTGTAGTAAGTATAGCTTGTAATTATATTTTATACATAAAGACGATATAGCAGAATATCTTACCGTAAGTTATCGTTTTATACCTATAAGTTATAAATTAAAATTACTAGTTATTAGCATAATAAGTTAATTGTCTCGGAGAAAATCACGGGTTAAACTTGCTTGTGTAATATATGATTTTTATTAGTACTGTAATATAATACTTTATATTGATAAATTAGTTTTTAAATGTTGCATAAATTGATAGTAAACTAATTGATCCTAGATATCCCATTTTATAATTCACGAAAACATTGCAATTCACACATAAAACAATAGGTATAGTATTAAAAATATTCCGCCTTCCATTGTTACCTGTCATTGATATATGGAAAAAATACAGCGGTAACGCACATCCACAAATACATATTTTCTCTTCTCGTATAATATAATAATCAACCCAGACAGAGTTGAAGGGAACGCTAGTAGGTAATATTCACGCCTCAATTGCTTGATTCAATTTACTTTATATAGGAAACTGGCTTCTAATAAGTACGGCGAAGTACATGAACAACAAACGAAAGTTATCATTGCGTGAGCGTTCGAAGGCGAATATTATAATCCAGCGGAGAGATGCATAGCGCCGTTCAGAAACTTGGAACTTTATAGCTTTCAATGGTAATTTTAATATATCTACTTAATTTTATTAGGACAGTCAAAACAAAAACATGCTAAGTCTGAAAGAGATCAGTGTTAGCTAATTTATATTGCTGCATTTAATAGAAACATGCGTGAACTAACTGATGCTCGTATCGTCGATTTAAATTAAATTAAAAAAAAAGATTTTTATCGGATGTTCGCACTGTAAAAAAACCTATTTTACAAGTTTCTAATCACTACTAGGCTAAGTGATTTTAGCGTGCGTTGATAGTAAGTTAATACAAACGATTTTATAAATATACTTATATATTATGCTCTTTCGTTTTCGTACTTTCTGTCTAGTTCACATCTATTGAAACATCATTATCCACCACATGCACATACACCCATATCACTACCACACTCACTATCCACTTTTACATAATGTTATTAGAATTCTACATACTATACGAAAATTATAACGTAGATGAACACGAGAGAGATCTTTAATAATATAGTAAATTCGAAACGAAATAATAATCATGTTTTCTGAATTTACATAGACGTAGATCTATATCGTCTATGAAAAAAATACGCTAGGTATATTCCGTACTCTCTCTTAAAATGTTTTAGAGGATAAATCCGATAACTTCAAGTAAAATTAATATAGGAATCAAATAATCTCTTTTATATTTGAGATAGTGACTGAAGACACGTAGTTTTTAATAAGTAGAAGGTTTCGAGTTTCAGATGTAATTAACAAAAGGGCCTTGCACACTATATGTATCTACGGTATGTAAGGGCTATCGATAATAATTGCGAAATTTGAAACCATATTATACTCATTAAGCCACATACTCAGTGTAAGGTAAATGTATCAATTACAGATATTTGTACTGGAATATCGTAGAAATGGGAATATTTTTCGCTACTAAAAGAATAAGTGAGTTGTCTAAACCTCAGACAACAGGTTACCTCGCCAAAATTTTAGCTTAAGGACGAAAAAAGTACTTTTTACGTTTATTAACTGTTAAATTTGACACAGTCATTATTTATATGTATAATTAGTAAAAACTACGGAAACTTACTACGTTTTATTTTGATTGATGGCGTGATTTTTTTCTAATTTTACATTTATTTTCCGGGTGATTTTAATGAATAACTTCATCTTAGATTCGACTTCGAAGCACTTTAAGCTACATAACGATATCATGAAATAAATATAGTATCCATGACCAACCATGTCTTTACGGTCTAGGTAGTCTAACGGTAAAGCAGACCACTTTTGTTCCGAAGATATGGATTCGATTCCACGAATGGTACAAACATTTGTAGTATGATATTTTATATTGGTCTGAATCTGAATGTTTTATTTTTATATTATGTACGTAGTTACAAAAAAAATCTAGGTATTATCAATAGTCTAGAACACATATGAGTAGGTAACTCTGTTTCACCTATTTTAGCTAAGCTGCTTGTTTTGTAAATAAGGCAGCGAAATTATAGGATACTGAGGGATGAGATCGTAGTCATATCCAATTATGTCCTATTATGACGTGTTCCTTTTGCTTTTCATGTATATAGAAAATAGTTATCTCTTACCAACAGTCAGATAGTGAGCTAAGTATTTCAAGTATATAAAAAATACTTCTGAAAATGATTTGGCATTTAGATTTTTGTATCTTTATCTAGTTGTATGTACAAAACTTTAGGCTGAAGTCATAAACCTCACCGACGCGTTGAATCTAGTAAAACACGAATTTATACGACCACATACATCCATCCAATCTTCCATTTATCGTCCAACTTCTACCTAGAACTGCTTCTAATGTAATTTATGTTATAACACACCTAAATTTCCGGGTAACTAAAATTGTCGGTTAGTGTTTGGAACGAAGTTTTGATTGTGGACTATTATAAAATATTCCTTCACAGCCTAGTGATAAAGCATGTTTAAGAAGCATCATTTTGATTCAAGTTTTGTTAATGGAGAAGGTTGATCTATTCTGAAGTGGGTTGTAATGCTTTTCTACTGCACCTGTACAGTAGCTTCAAATTACATATAACAAGATGTGTAGATTATAATTTTAATAAAAAATTTAAAAACATTAAAATATTAACTGTTTATATATCAGTAAAAATATAAAAGTAATTACATATATAACGTATACGGGTTTAAATTTCTATTTAAATTTATATTAATAATCATGTAATAGTATCTTAAAAGGAAGATAGTGAAACCTTGTTATTAAATATTTAAAGCAATTTTTCAATGTCACGGTTTATTTTCAAACATTATTTCACATCTATCGCAACTAAAATATTCATAAGTTCCAAATGAATATGAGTCCCAAAGGGTTGTCCACTAATTTGGGTAAATCAAACGTGACTAATCTTAATTTAATTTTAACCTAATCTGGTAGAACAACATTGCCTTCAATTTGTGAATTTCGATGTTACTAAAACATGTGCTTTTATCCCACAACCTAATATAACGAACTATTATCATTTATGTGTTCGTTCATGCATGAATTAATATATTTTGTTAGAGTATGGTATTTTAAGATATGTATACATAAAAATATGTATTAAGAGAAATATTCTGAGTGATTTATCACGGTAAAAAAAATATTACTGAGGATAAAAACATGTAATTTTTCACACTCACCCAACATATATAATACTTACAATTTATTCACTCGCTGTGAAAGGGTTTTATTTAAATACACACATATATGAACAGAAAATATTTGTTGAACACAGTATTGACCTGTTGATAATTTATTTTTACTCTCAAGTTACTATTTATTTACTTATGTAAATTTTCAAACTTTGCTAATGCTGAACAACATTTGTTTAAAAAGTAACACGCAAGTTGTTCATTCTTCTTGTGAAATCTACGTTCTGAAAGAATGGCCGTATGATAAAATGACTATTTAAAAGTATTTATATTAAGTTGATTTAAATAAAAATTATTTCTATTTTCATGTTTTGCTTTGACAAAAAAAAAGTGAAGGCAACACATTAATAATAATTTCTATTTTTGATAAATAGGTAGTTTGAATGAAAATGTATGCATGACTTTTATTGTAGGCCATTTTAATTTTTTTAGCACTGTTGTAAGAATCAGTGTAATTTCTATTCGGAAATTTCAAGAGATAAATAATGGAAAGTCACAGTATTTCCAGTTCAGGCAATACTGTGGTTTTCCTCCTAGTAACTACCACGTGGCTGTATGCGCTATAACTTCTGTAAGATGAATATCAGAATTTCTAGTGAAATCTCGACGTATTAAAAACCTAACACGTGATCCGTAACTTAGCGGACAGCTGTCTAACAACATATGGAATTTTAGATGAGATAAATAGTTTAAACCAAAATTAATATAATTTGGTTATATATATTACATTATAAGTAAGAGTGTATAGTTAACTCGAGTGTGTAATTATAGAACTTCATTGTAACAAATTGTTTTCTTGAGAATTCAATAGATAACAGTCAATTTGTTACACAATCGTGAACTATAACGTGTCAATACGAAGTTTCAGATATTAAATAATGTATATGTTGACTGATTTTCTTTCGTTATACATTTATTATTAGTTTACATCAGTTTACTTGTGTGTTTATATTAACAAAATTATAATCGTTTGTTTCAGAGATCTTCATTGTACTGTTATTTTATGGAAAAACATTATTGCGTCATATTTCGATTGTTTTATTTTGTTTGGGTACCGACTACGTACTTTATTCTATTTGAATAAAAATTCAAAATATAATCATATATGTTATTTCCTCA